GGAACATGAGTATGGACGAAGCACAGAAATCCAGAATGCAATATCACACTGAAGTCCAAGTATTCAAAGCCAAAGCAGATAGTACAATGGAACCGAGTAACCATCCAAYTGAGAATGATACAGAAGAATCGTGAGTCAATGTCCATGCCCAACAGGGCAACACCAACAGCATAACCCAAATGTAGCTCTCTCTTGTGAATGGCGCCAGGCGCCCTATCTACTCTACAGCCTATCCTACAACTACAGCAATGAACAGCAACCAGACAACTTGACTACCAGCGAGTGATGATGTCAACACCAATGCCGTATTCCACCATCACCAGGTACGTGTCCTCTTCCCCACACTCTTCCTTGTACCAACACAGCGCCCTTCACCTCCGAAGAACCACCTTCGCCCTTTACCCTTCTGCGCCCTCTGCAGTCCGTCTATGGCCGCCAAGCGCCCTGTATGCAGGCAGCGCCCTACCGCCTAGCGCTGGCCTGCTTGCTCTTAGCGCAGCACTGCCTTGCACAGCGCAGCACACATGCATCCGCGCAGCGTGCCCGCAAGTGCCAGCGTTGGCCAAGATGCTTGCCCACTCGCCCTGCTTGCCTATATGCCAGTGCAGCGTGTGGGCGGCCTCCCTTCAGCCTGTGACCGGGACCCAGAGGCTGAAGCCAATCCGATACAGTTGGGCCCCGGGGCAATGCAGTTGCGCCTCTTTCATCAAGGCCTGCGGCCAGATTCAGATAGTGGGCCGATTTTCCCTTTGGCATTTTCRGCCTCTCTACCCAGCATGCATTGTCGGCCTCACGTTCGAGTGCCCAGGGCCTAACCAACTCAGGGGCCCTGGGCTTTCTGCATTTGCAGATCCGAGACTCGGTGCACTCCAACCAACTGGCGTGCTGCAACTGTTTGGACCCCACTGTTTGGACCCCACTTCGTGAAATGTTTGAACAAAGGGCTCTTGTTGATTTGCTGGCTCGCCTTCACTTAGGGCGGTCACAGATCTGGCCCGCCTTCACTTAGGGCGGGCACGAGGCTTGCTGGGGGCCTATGCCCAGAACATATGTATGTCGGCAAGGCCCCTCTGAGGGCTCAATCCTCACA